CCTGTACAAGGAGCCGCGTATTAACTTCTGAAGAGCCGCATGTGGCTCTGGAGCTACAGGTTGGCCACCCCTGGGTTAATAGATAGGAAACAAAGGGTAGGAATAAACCATCAGTTTTCACAGTAGAGAGAGGATCTGTACTGGGACCACTGCTGTTCAACATATTTATAAATGGTCTGGAAAAAGGGATAAACAGTGATGTGGCAAAGTCTTCAGTTTAGGATGTGTGTTTTGTTTTATTTGCTTGGTAATCTGCTTTGTTCTGTTTGCTATCCCTTATAATCACTTCAAATCTGCTGTCTATAGTTAATAAACTTGTTTTGTTTATTATTAAACCCAGTTTGTGCAATTTTTAACTGGGCGGGGTGGGGGGGAGAAGTTGTGCATATCTTCCTCCACGTTGAAGGAGGGGCCAAATTTATGAGCTTACGTTGTATAGATTTCTTTACAGTGCAAGACAATATTATTTTGGGTGTACTTTCCAGAGGGAGGCTGCACTTGAGTGCTGGGTGATTTCCTAGCGGAGTCTTCTCATAGAGAGCTGTTTGCAGACTCTGTGTGATTCTACAGCTGGTGCATCCCTACCTGCGTGTGTGTGCTGCCAGAGGCTGGAAAGCCTGATTCAGCAAAACAGGGAGAGGGAGTCCAGGCTAATGGAGCAGGCAGGCTCGGTGAAATCTCAGTACATCAGGTGGCCTAACCCATCACAATATAAAATTGTTTAAGAAATATGTAAGAAGAAGATAGAAAGATTGAATTAATTTAAACAAAAAGGGCTTTACTGGTACTACTGGTAAACAAGAGTAATACAGGAGTGATAATAAATTAACCAAAACTGGTTTTGGAAATTAGATCTAGTTTGTGGCCAAAATAATGAGGGGATGGACTATTCCACCCATCACTCCCTTCTGAGGTCCTTAAAAGAAAAGAGATTGGGGGCGGGGGGTGGTGGGATGAAAATTAGTAGAGGGGAAAAGTTGGCTACAGCGATGCTGGCTGACTGAAAGTTGAGAGAAAAGAACTCTGAAAAATCAGAACCTAGGTGTCTCAAATTGTGCGCTCAAAATTAGTTGATATTTTTGACAGTTTTAGCCTTACTCTCTCTGTGCTTCAGTTCCATGCAACATGGGGATAATTTCCACTTTGCAGGCAGTATTATACATTTTGACAAATGTTAGTAAATTCTTCAAATCACAGCTTTTGGAATTAGCACAATTTTAAAATTTGGTCACTTTTATTTTTAAATTAGCAGCTGTAAGTTCATTTAAAAAAAGGAGTGGAGAAAACCTAAATTAAAATCTCCTTATGTGGAAAACTTTCTGGAGGAATTGAGAAGACAAATACAGTAATATTTGTGAAGCACTAGAATACTAGTGAAAGCAACACAGAAAAGCCTCTGAGAAAATGAATAAGTCTGCATTCAGTGCAGTGTTTGGATGGTGGGCCCTGGGCAGTACAGAACACATGGGGCCACACGCTGAATAACAAGAATAAAATTAAACAGTGAATAGCTACCCATTCAGTAAGCACTCTCCACCCTGTGCATTGAATGGGGCAGGGAGTTCGGGGGACAATTCTATGTGATCATGTAATAAAAGACTGTATCATAATGCATATGCAAAAGAGGGCTGAATTAAGGTTGCACAGGCAACCTTGATACTGGCATTTCCTGACTTTATGTAGGGGAAGTAATATATTTTATATGGTACTTAAACACAGCACTGAACCCACCCATAAAGCCCTTTCAAGGTTATTTAACTTAACCCTCCAAAATAGCCACTTCTCTGAAATGGTCAGATGGGCTAATTACACCAACATACAAGGGCAGAGACGCTCTCAATCCAAACTACTACAGAATTACTGGGGTTTGCAATAACATCCAGAACAAAAGAGTAATGCCCTTTCGAACGAACGAACGAGAGAGAGAGAGTGTGTGTGTGTGTGTGTGTTCCCGCCGTGCCTCCAGCTAGCCTATGAGGAAGGTGGCTATTACACAGCAGAGGAGACCCTAATCTCCCCTTAGCCCTTTTCTCCGTCAGTGTGTCTTTCAAACACTAGTAAACCTTCTCCAGATGCAGATGTTTCTTAGACCAGGATGGGTTTGTTGCAGATGCGTGCTGGGAGGAGAAGGATGTATATGGCGTCCTAAGGACACATGCCCTCTGGAACTGCCTGTATCTTCTGGGCATGGTGCACAGAGGTCTCTCTTCATGGAGAAGTTCAGCATCCACATCCCAGCAACTACAATCTGCTGTAATAAGAGCAGCTGCTCCCTGGGGGGGTGTCAGCAGAGAGGTGAGTTAGGATGCCTCAAGTTCTGTAACCATTCAGTACAATGCCCCTGCTTCACAACAGCTTTGTCCCAGAGTTCCCAAAGGCAGTGGCTACATGTCTGGTTTTAGGTGAAAAGAGCTTCTTTGCTAGTTTAGAAGCAGCTCAAGGGTTTGTTCTGAGCTCCCTCTTTGGACATTCCCAATCTTAACATTCTTAAAAATTCTAGATACTGTAATGACTCTACTGAGCAGCCGTAGGTCAGCAGAGAGCAGTGTCATGAATCTGCTAAGCGTGGACCTACTTCTGCTCTTCTTCTGACTTCTTCCACAGGGGAAAGGGATGGTAGGAAAACTGGTGGTAGTGCAAGGACAGCAGCTGTTCCTGGTGGCTGGCACTAGTGATTAAGCAGGAGTTTCTGGCATTGCCTGTGTGTAGCTAGGTCTGTCTCAGTGAGGTTTACAGGGGTCTTGTAAATAAGAATATGGTCATAGTACAAGTAAACATATTACACCATAACAGGATTCCGTGACATCACTTTCTCCCCACAGCGGGGCTCTGCCTGTTGCAAGGCATCAAAATCAATCATCATTTAGCTAAATGGGTTGAGCAGCAATACAATGTAAAACATTAAGGTCATTCTTCATAGGGAGATATTTGATGTCCTCTGTGTTCCAAGGACTTCTAGGACCATTATGCGTTCTGTGTTTCCATATATATCAATAACTATTGTACAGTGAGTATTCATCCATGACCATTACACACACACAGTATATTCCAGTACCTATTCTTCTGGAAAGTGAGTCTTACGTAGACCTAGAATAAGTACACACTTTTGCATGTATTACACTCAGACGGATTCTGATTTACGCTAAGGCCACTTTGCATCACTCAGGCAGTGTCAAAGGACCTTAAAGTGGGGTGTAAATTATAGTTACACAATATTAAGGGCCTTTTACACAGCCAGAGTACTGTACGGAGGCCTACAGTTATGTCTACACTTTGAGCTGGGGGTGTAAATTCCAGCTTGAGGAAACATACCTAGACTAGCTCTAGTTGAGCTAGAGTGCTAAAGTCAAAGTGTAGATAGACATGGTGGCATAAGTGGCGGGAGGGGCTAGCTGTCTGAGTACAATCAGGGGAGGGATAGCTCAGTGGTTTGAGCATTGGCCTGCTAAACCCAGGGTTGTGAGTTCAATCCTTGAGAGGGCCATTTAGGGATCTGGGGCAAAAATTGGGGATTGGTCCTGCTTTGAGCAGGGGGTTGGACTAGATGACCTCCTGAGGTCCCTTCCAAACCTGATATTCTATGATTCTAATCCCATCTGAGCTGCTAGGCACATCTTGGGGCAGCTAGCCCATCATGCTGCTATGGCTACTCTCTACTTTCAGCATACTAGCTCCATCAGAGCAAGTCTGGGTATGTCTCTTCATGCTGGTATTTACATCACCTCCTCAAAAGAGGAGACATACATACACTTAACAAACCTGGTTCTCATTTTGACTAGGTTTTATGTATACCTACAACCAGCACACACTCTCTCGGGCATCTGCATACATTTACAACCATTAATGGTTCAAGTATGTTCTGAGTAAATGTATAACTATTGCACATACTGAGTGTGTGCACACATTATATGCACTATGTACATATGCAATGACTGCATGTTCTTTCATGAAGGGCTTCTCTACACAATTATTCAGTTCACAGCAAGCTGGGAGGTGAAGCTAGCCCATATTAGACTGCCACAGACTAACTATCTGTGTGGACCGTGCTGACTCGCATTAAAAGTAGGTTAATGTACTTTGATTTACTCCTTTTTCAAAGAGGACTAAATCAAAGTGCATTAATGAACTGTGGTCATTTTATACTCCATGGCTCAGTGGTTAGAGCACTCATCCAAAATACAGGGACATGAGTTCAAATTCGTACTTTGTCTGATATGGAATGGGGACTCGAATACAGGTTTCCCACCTCCCAGCTGAGTGCTCTAAACACTAGGCTATGTCACTCAAATATTTAAATATTCACTGGAGCTGGGATTGGAACCCAGGACTCCCAGGTGAGTGTGCTAACCATTAAGCAATAGAGTCAGTCAGTCTTACGCTATCTCTGGTCTCATTAATATTTTAGTGGAACAACTTCAACAGGGTAGATTCAGAAGGACTCACTGTAGTCATGAGGGCACTTACCTGGGAGTTGGGAAACATGTTCAAGTCCCTGCTCCACATCCAGGCCTCCCCCATTTTGGGTGAGCGCTCTAACCACTGGGCTATACTGTATAAGAGGGGATGCCACCACCCTCACCCTCCTCCAACTGTGTTGGGGGGGGGGGGAGGAGCGAGAGAGGATCTAAGTCCCTTTGTGCATCTAGCTCCCAGTTTTGAAAAAAATCTTACCCTCAGCACATCTTTAACAAGTATACATCCTAGGAGTATGTGTATTTTAGGTACATCAGCACTAAACTACAAAAACTTATCTGGTGTTCTAGAGACCTCTACAACAAAGTGTGCACTCAGATTCTGCAATGATGAGCATGGTATAAGAACCTATGTAGAAAAGAACAAAATAAAATTGCAGAGAGTGAGTGTGTGTGTGTGTTCGTGTTCGTTCTAGGTACATATTTCCCACTGTATGTTTCCCATAGCAGAATATAGTGTTTTAGAAACGTCTATCCACCATTTCTCATTTTGTTGTAAAAGATTTTTCATAATTTATTTTTGCATCACCAAGTTTACCATCCTCACATGGCTTCTCACATTTCTTTACCACCCTACTGAGCTTCTCCAGTTTGATCAGGGTACACTCTAGCCAACTTCCACAATCTTCCTGGCATCTTATGGCTACCCTATAAACTCAGCAACCCCATGCCTTCCAGGATTATATTTCAGAGTCCTCAATTGGGCCATTCAAAAATATTTTGATGGGAGCCAGTGGCAAGTCCTCTTTGGGGAGGATGAAGTTTTGAACTGGGTACCGCTTTACTCCTAGACTAGAGTGTGCTCTATAGGGTTTCTCCTCTGTGACCTGAGTCTTGGCCATCCCTGTGTCAGAGTCCCATGCCTGGCCATGACGGAGCTTCTTGAAGGTGTTCCGGAAACCTTCAGTGCTAAAGTAGTAAATTAGGGGGTCCAGAGAGCAGTTCATGCTGGCTAACAGCACTGTGACAATAAGCACCTGGCGCACGGAGTCCCGAACTGGTGGCTCAGCCTGAATCACGTGGGCCTTTATCATCCCATACACTGCCAGAGTTGTGTTGTAGGGCACAAAGCAGATGATGAAGATTACCAGATTGACCACAAGCAGGCGGATAGTCTTCTGCTGGTGCAGGCTCTGTGTCCCACTGGCCTGGCATAGCTTCTGGAAGATTCTAATTGAGCAGTACATCACAGAGGTCAGTGGCAAGAGGAAGCCCAGGATTTCAGCCAGAATGACCAGTGGGAAGATGCGCTTCTGCCACAGGCCATCACTGAAGCTTTCAAAACACAGAGCGATGGTCTGGTTCCCTTTGATGCAGGAACTTGACCTGTGGACACCAGCAGCTGGAACAGAGCCCACCAGGATAAGCACCCACACCACCAGGCAGAGCAGCCGGGCCAACTTGGGCCGCCGAAGGTGGCGCCAGCGGAGTGGGTGGACAATGGCAATGTAGCGGTCCAGGTTGATGCACATGAGGAAGAGGCAGCTGCCATACATGTTGATCTGGAAGAGGGAACCTGACACCTGGCAAAGGAAATTGCCAAATGGCCAGTGCTGGCTGGAGTAGTAAGAGAGCCGTAGTGGCAGCGAGAGTGTGAAGAGCAGGTCGCTTACTGCTAGGTTGAACATATAGATGCTCACCACAGACTTGAGGTGCAGGTAGCGCAGGAAGACCCAGAGTGCCACAGCATTGAGCATCAAACCTGCCACAAAGATCAGGCTGTACCCAACCAGGTGCAGCCGGTGGTTGGAGCTGTAATCTTTGCATTGGTCCAGACTTTGAGAGATGCTGGCATTTGACATGCCCGGCAGAACCTGTACAGGGTCTCAGTGATGTAGTTCAGGCCACTGATAGACAAATGGAGCACATTAAGGGGCGTGGAGGAAGATCATTACCCTCAGGGGAGCAGGGGTCAGGTCATCCCCCCCCACCCTTTGGAAGTGGATGGGTGTCTCTCTCTCTGCAGATTCCGTCACCAGCTCTTCAATGCGTCTCCTGGAATCGGTGGTTTGGAGGTCAATCACTGGTTACATTTCACAGATTCTTTCCAGCAGTTGTGGTGATGTGGATGCAATGCCGGGTTCTTGCCAGATGTGGAACGACAACAGTTCCTGATCAGAGTGAAAAATCAAGAAGGATGAGTCTAATTTATAAGGGAGAAAAAGCTCCAGGGTGTTGGCTTCTGCCCTTAGTACACACAGAAAAATAAAATAGACTGAGAAATAAGTATTCCAGAAGACAGAAGAGAGGAGAAAGAGGGATGGAGGAAGTAAGAGAAGGAGCAGAAAGATAATAGAAGGAGATGGGGCAGGGTGGTCGGGGGAGGCAGGGAGGGCAAAGTCTAAGGTAAGGTTGAATGATAAACAATTTCTGAGTGAATGTCTGTGAAAACAAGCCTGAGCTTCAGAGAATGATAAAAGTTTGTCCAGATTAGAATTTGTGCTCCTGTTTTAACTTTAATCAACACAACTGTAAATGCTATTCTAGGTGCTCCATCAACATTTGTTCCAGACACAAATTTATCAGTTTACCCTAGTCTAGACAAACCCACAAGGTAAAAACTGATGCACATATCCTCCCCGCATGCAGACATGAAGAGACTATATTTCTTCGAGATGAGCCTGTACACAGTTATGCAGGAGACCTGGCAGACACACCATCTCACTGGAGCTGTTGGGTGTGCTAGCCACCTGCCATTCAGACTAAATGAGGGAACAATTTAATATCCCCTTTGTCTGGTGATAGCTGGAACAATGAAAACCACTGACCAAGGACTAGACTGCCTGAAAGCCTGTGCAGGCCAAGGGGGTCCCCAGAGGTCTGGAACACAGATTATTTTGGGGGATTATTTTGATTGCAGCAGAGAGAGAGAGAGAGAGAAGGAGGAGAAAAACCACAAGAGAAGCACACAAAGGTGTCAAGGAAGCCTCAGAGACAGTCAGAGAAGTACTTGTAGCGTGCACATGAGAAAAAAGCTATGAGAGAGAGCTTTTGGGTAGAGCACCGGCTAAAAAGAGGCTTGGAATTGTGAGCAAAGAGACTGTCTCCTACTGTTTGATTCCTACTGTGGTCAGGGAAAACAGGACTTTGTACGTTCTCGGTAAATTAACAGGATTTTATCAAAAAAGTACCTGACTATCTTCAAATTTCTCCTCCTAACAGGATGGCCCACAAGATCTTGAATAACGGCTAACCACTCAGGTCAAAATGAGACAACTCAGTTGTGCATGTGCAGCAGACCAATGGCACCTTCTGCAAGCAATCCCTATTGTGGCATCTGTGCTCTTTCCCCTTGGGGTTCCAACATTCAGGAAATGAGAATATAAGAGGGACAGGGGACCCAAACATCTCAGTTCTTTCCCACCTGAACCTCAGATCCTGGTGGAGCAACAGGGCTCTCAGGAAGAGGGGAAGCGGTCAGCTAATGTGAATGTGCAAAGGCTCCTATCAAGGAAATTCATTTATTGGTAAATAAACACAGGTTCTCCACCTTACAATAATGGGAATTCTTCAAGATGCTTTGTCCACACAGATCCCACTGAAGGGCTGCATTTTCATGAGCTCAGAATATTTTTGGCCAGCAGCAGCTGCTGAGTTTGCATATGTTCCCACTCCCAAAGGTGGAAAGTGTGCAGCAGCCCCTGCTACCACTCAGTTCCTACAGAACATCTCACTAAAGGACTCCATATCAGTGGGAAAGGAGGGCAGGTCATGGGATCCATGTGGACAACAGCATCCAATTATTGTGAGGTAAATAGCCTCTCTTTCTTCTTCAACATTTGTCTATACAGATCCCACCATAGGTAGTGGGGAATCACAAGTCTCAAACATGGGTCCCCAGCCAGTCCTCAGTCTGCAGCTATCACCAGGCAGCTCAAGGGTACTGGCAAGGAGTGTCGCCTGGTGGACTCTAGTTCACCTTAGGCATTGCCCACATAGCTCCCAATTGGAGGGGATGTCCGGGCCTCTCTGATTGGCTCAGCCTCACAATTTAAGCCAGAAGGAGGCACAGAAATTTGTCTGAGCAACTATGTACATCCCTGGCTGGCTGCTACATTGGACACTGTCTTCTCATCTGACTCCCAAGCCCTGCCTTGTTCCCGATTCCTGCCTTTCTGTCCTGTTCCTGGTACCTGCACTCCTGCCTTGTTCCAGATCCCTGCTTCTGAGCCCCAATTGCTGTCTACTGACCACAGCTCTGACCAGTGGCTTGATTCCTGGCTCTGATTCCGGCTCCAACCCTTGGCTCGATGCTGGACTCTGACTACAGCTCTGACACTTGGCTTGACTCCCAAATCTGTCTCCGTCACTGACCTCCAGTTCCTGGCTTCTGACTCCTGCTTTGGCCACGAGGCATGACCACCATTGCTCAAACCATGAGGCCTGATTGCCTATGTTCTAGTCTACAACAGTTTGCTCAGCCCACCAACCCCTCCGAGTTGGGCCCAGCCAGATATGGACCCAGCAGAGCGCCCCCTTCCCCAAGGAGTGCTGGTGCTCTATGAATAGGTGTCCCGCCTCCAGATAGACAACCAAGCTATGCAGGTGCAGATGGCACAGCTGGTCACTGAGAATCAGGCACTGCAGGGGCAAGTCCATCAACTCTGTGCAGAGAACATTGCACCCTGGGCCCGCTATGGGCCACATCCTGACCTGAGTCAGGACCTGTTTTCCCCCTCCCAGAGTACTTCAGTGGGGATTGTTCCCAATTTTGAGGCTTCATGAACTAGTGCTGCCTATCGGTCTTGCTTTGCCCACAAATGTACTCATCCAGCAGGCACTATCAACCATCTTTGGGGACCCACATTGTGCTCTCTATCTGCAGAGCAGAAGCTCTGACAGGGGGTTAGGCACAGCCGCCTCCTGTGCGGCACACTTCTGCCATCTCACATTGGACATGGGGTGGAATGAGGTGTGGTTGCTTTTCCAGAGGGGCCTGCTGGACAGGTTAAAGGAGGCTAAAGTTGGGACCCTGACAGATCCGGTGCCTTTATCAATCTTGACAGTTGGCTGCATGAACAGCGGGAAGAAAGATAGGTGGCATCAGAGCCATGCCCATTGCTATTGGGTCCTACTCTGCAAGTTGAGCCCATGCCAGTTGATCTGGCCTACCGACTACTCACCACCAAGTAAAGAGAGTGCCAGCAACATTTTAACCTGTGTGTCTTCTGCAGTGAACTGGGTCATGCAACACTGATTGCTCCTTGAGGATCCCAGATCAGAGAGAACTAGGAAAATGAGCCAGCCCAGGCTTGGTAAAGGGTGCTGGCCCGAGCATCTTGACAAAATGTGCTTGAGTGTCAAGCCTTTGCCATAGCTAGCATTCAGCATGCATTCCACCAACCAACACCATGTTTGCAAGTACCAGATGAGCTGTGTGTTCTAGAGTGCTCCCTTCCAATCTCTCTGCAGCAGGCTCTCATTAACTTGGGTCCAGTGGATGACTATTGATCTGGATGCAGTCCAGACCCTACAGATTTTCTTAAGGCTCAAGCCTGTTCCAGACCTAGTAGAGGTCACTGTGCAAGTGCACCAAGAGATGCTGCAGTTCAGTTCCATTCACCCCCCGCACATTTTCCCCGATCCTGGGAATTTCTTGGCTGACCCTCCATAATCTTCTAGTTCATGCTAGTGAATGAAAGGCCAGCTTCTCTTCAGAACACTGCTGGCAGCACTGCTTGACTCCAAGAAGTAGAGCACGCATAGTAGAGCCCTGATGGTCACAAGCGGAAGTAGCTGGTGTCTGACAGACTCACCTACTGATCTTTCTAGTACAGTGACTTTGCCACTGTATTTATTTAAAAAAAAAAAGACACATAAAGACATCCTACTTCTGCATAGGGATGAAGACTGCCCAGGTGAACTGCAGCCAGGAGCAAAAAATCTGTTCACTCTGTTGGTTACATTTATGCCATATCTGAACCTGAATTGGCTGCCCTGTGAACCTGCCTGCAGGAGAACTGCGCCAAGGGCTTTATTCGCAAGTCTACCTCACCTACTGGGCACCAATCCTCTTTGTTAAAAAGAAAGATAGTAGCCTCCAACTTTGCATGGACTACCAAGCATTGAATCAGGTCACTGTTAGGAACTGGTACCCCGTCTCTAATTCCCAAATTATTGGACCACGTGGGGGATGCCTGACTATACACAAAATTGGACCTTTGCTGGGCACGTAACCTGGGGAGGAGTGGAAGATAGTCTTTCAAAAATGCTATGGACATTTTGTATACCTTGTGGTGCCTTTTGGTTTAATCAATGCCCCTGCCAGATTTCAAACATTTTATTAACAGTGTGTTCTAGGATATTCTGGACCAGTATGTGGTGGTACATCTGGATAACATACTTCCAGACAGTGCTGAGCAACATACCATGCATGTCTGTTCTGTCCTTGGAAGGCTATGCCAATATCACCTCTACCCTTAGTTTAAGAAATGTAGTTTTGGTCAGGCATCCATAGAATTGTTAGGGTTCATCTTATCCCCGAGGGTATCGAGACGGAGTCTCATCAGGTGAAAGCAGTCCTCGACTAGGCAGCTACACAGAACATCTGAGAACTGTGGCACTTCCTGGGATTCATGAATTTCTATTGGCGATTCATCCCAATGTACTCAGAGCACATCACCCCCCTCACTGCCCTTCATCCCCTGCACTGGCCAGCCCTCCTCCCAGGAAACCACCCAGCTCTAGATGGATCAAGTTGTCTGCCTCCATGGCCTCCCAGAGGGCATCATCTCTGATCACGGTGCACGATTTATCTCCTGCTTCTGGCATGAAGTTCTCTGGATGTTGGGTATTCTTGCTTTTCTCTCCTCCACTTCTCCCCAGTCAAACAGTCAGACAGAAAGAACAAACCAAAGTTTGAAACAGTACTTACAGCGCTATATAAACCACCACCAGGATGACTGGTACTCACTACTATCCCACGTGGAGTTTGCGTACTATAACGTGGAACAATTGTCTACAACAGCGGTTCTCAAACATTAGCAACCTGAGGACCCCCCATTTTGATTTTAAGATTTTTTGCAGTTCTCCGAGCCCCCCACTCAGTCCCAAGTCCCACCCACACTCCACCCTTCCCCCAAGGCCTCACCCCTCCCTGCCTCTTTCCACA